GCATTGCTACGCATGTGCCCTCTTATGTTCTTCCACAGATGCTCCATTTGACCACTGTCACAAAGAAGGTAGTGGGCTGGACAGATTTTCAGTCTGTCGTTGTGTTAGCTATTCTGGTTGGATTAGGACTGCAATGGTACTGAGATGAACTTCAGCCCGGGAAGTCTTGCTACCTTATCCAGCTTGTCAGAGCATTCCTGTTTCACAAGAAACGGAGTAGAATTTTGTTCACAAAGACTTTGGTATCATGACCAGCAGGGTGGGTGTTTATTTCACCGTTTCACCACTGCACTGTAGGAGAAGGAGAGAAGCCTTGAAAAAAAAGTAAATCTCAGAAAAAAAAGCAAAAAAAAAAAAGGTTTTTTTTTAATTATTATTTTCTTTCTTACATGTGACATGTAGGGCAAGTAGTCATCGTGCAAGGTGATTAGCAAACTATGGTCTTTTACGTTCAACTCTTAGGTGGGGTGGTATCTTTTTAAAATGAGGAAAATGAACAAATTAAGTTGTAGAATGTCTGAAAATAGACAATGGGTAATCAGAAAAAAAAGATTTAAATTAATATCACTTGATTGAAAACAATTAAAAGCCTTGTAGAAGTTGCTTGGTACATGGTCAGCCATTTTTGGGGAAGTTTTTGGTGTATCGAGTATTTTGATACATCGTAACTGTGGATGAAGTATAACCTGGGTCTTTTCTATGTAACTGTGAGGGCATCTCTGAAGAATCAGCTACATGGATGTAATGTTTAAATGAAATTTACTGTTGTTGAAAGATGCTAATTGTTTCTGTGTGATGAATTAAATATAGACAGCAGAAGTTCCCCTTTGTTCTTGGACGGGAACCTCAGTCATGCTCCGATAGAGTAGGATGAGGCATGGGAGGGTTTTAGTGACCACTATCAAATTCATCACTCATTTTTTTTCTATCAGACCTGCTTAGTAGACATCTGTTTCCTGATAAATGGTTGTTTCGATACAAACACTTGGTTGGAAGTTGCTGAGTATTTGCCTGTGTTGCCTGCACTGCCCTTCTCCGCAGGGAGATTGCCATCTGCCAGTCATTAATTTTGGTCGTTGTCTCCACATTGTAGCTCAAGCTCTTGGGCAACGTTTTCCCTCCCCCTTTTTATTTTTTTTTTGTGAGGATCCAAAACTACTCGAGAAGTTGTGGAGGCGGCACAATCTGTCTCCCAAATTGTGAAACCACCCAAGGCCCTTCTGAGATTTCTTTGCAGTAATTCATGTATTTCATCTTCATTATGATTCACAGCATTTTGGACTTCCTATTTCCTGGGAGAGAGCATGGGGGATTCTTTTCCCGTAACTTGCATCTGAAGCAATTCCGGTCCTGAAGCAGCGGGCAGGAGATGGGAGCAGGATGTGCTGGGTGTTGACAGGCTCTGTGCTGGTCCCTGCGAGGCAGCCCCGTGCTGCTCGCGCCGTGTCTGCTCCGAGCTCAGGTGGCGCTGGGGCCCTCGTGTCCTTCCTGACAAGGACAGACGCTCGGCAAGTGCTGTTTTGGGATGGAAGAGGCGAGCTGAGAGGTGGGGAGGTCGCTGTCCCCAGCAGGTCGCAAGACACCCGGGCGTTGTTCAGGTTCCTTCTGCCCTTTGGCCGTGCCTGCGCGCACACTCTTCTTGGAAGCCGCCTTGTTTTGTGTAAGGTTTCTGGCCTGTTGGTGGGTACGTGAGAGGTGGCGTGGGGACGCAGGAAACGGGCGTTAGAGCAAACCCCTGCGCCCGGAGCGTTCCTCGGCGCCCTCGCGCAGAGCGCAGGGCTTGTGCGTGGGCAGGAGAGACGCCGTGGCCTCCCCGGCTGTGCTCCGGAGGCTGAGGCAGCCCCGCGCCGTGTTGACACGAGGCCGGGAGGAAGGAGCTGCTGGGAAGGAGCCCAGGGCCGGGCGAAGGAGCGTGGAGAAGCGCGGGCTGTTACCACGTGGCTGGGCCGGGGCAGCGCTGTTGCCAGTCTCCATTATGTGCCGCCTGAGAAGAGGCTTCAGGCCCTTCCTTTCATCTCCCTCCTAATGAGTTAAGACAAGGAATAACCATAAAAGCAGGGCGAGGGAGGGGAGTAAGATCTGAGGAGACTCTTTCTTTCGTTTACGTTGTAGCTGAATGTGTGGCGCTAGACAAATGTATTGAGCTAATGCTATAGCGGCTCGAAGTTCAAGCCTTTCCTTAGGGCTGTGGAGGATGGAAAGGAGGGAGCTGCAGCATCCAGAGAGAGAGAAGCTATTTAATGTTGAGCGACTGCTCCAAAGCCACAAAATGTAAAAGCCTGAGAAAGCATTTGGGGGATCCTGCTCCAGTCAAAAAGATTGGACTGGACTTGGGGCCTCTGTTCCTCCTGTTTCTTCTCCGGATTGAAGCCTTTGTCTTAGTGCTCGCGTCGCCCGCGCCGCTTGCGTGACAGCAGCGCGCGGCCACGTGCAAGAGCAGCTGGGAGCGTGTTGTGAGTGGGCCACTGTACGTGATATGTTGCACCCTTGACAGGAAAGGAGTTGTACCCTCTGCGAACAAATGGGTGGGAGGGGAGTGTGGACTAGTTTCCTTGCCTGTGAAAGGAGCAGCTCCCCTCCAAAAGAGCTTATGAATTTAAGGACTTTCTTTCTTTTTTTTCTTTTTTTTTTGTTATCACTGTTGAAAATCCGTGCCTTTTAATAACTGAGGATGGACTGAGCGTGTTTGTCTGCTGAAGGATTTGCCTGCGTGTATGTGTGTTTGCCTGCTTGCCGATTGCACACACAGTCATGGGAAACCAAAGATTTGGGAATTCACATTAGCGAGGCTCCAAAATGTGCCCGATAATGGACAGCAGGGCAGTCCCTTTGAGCAAGAGTGATGCTGGTTTGGGGGGAGTTGTTTTGGAACGCTCCCTCCTTGGCATTTTGTGGACTGATGATGGATGAACTACCCGTGTGCTTTGTCCCTCTTGGATAGATTTGCCCTGAGGAACAGGGACTCTGATGGAGTCATAAAAATAAAACCGCCAAATAGCATGGTGTGATTTAATCACAAGCCGGCTGCATTGATTCTTCCCCTGGGGTGCTCTGTCTGTGTGTTTGGAGATGCTTTTTGTCATAGGGATGTGGCAGGGGGTAGTGAGGGGAAGGCAGCTTTACAGAGCTCCACTCGATCACATCTGAAAAGTTGTTCCTAAAAATTTGATATTTAGGGGTGGATGAGTTAGCCGAAGAGAAATGGCTGCTGCTTCCAGCCTTCTCCTGAGACTTGCATTGCTCTCAAGAGCAATTGCTCTGTTCTTCCCATCAAGGCTGATTTTATTCTAAGCAGATCAAACATATTTTATGTTGCTTGCACAGCCCTGCTAAGATAAAAGGGAAAGCTGCCACCGTTTCACCCAGCATGACAAGAGCTCAGTGCTTACTGTTAGTTTGCTCTTGTCAGTCCTTTAAAACCAATATGCAAGTTCAAGGTCGTATCTGTCAGAGACATTTCTGGCCAGAAGAAGCTTTGTCTTAACGTTGCCAGTTCATCTTTGGAGAGAGATTTCTTTCCAAATATCCATGAAGTGTTTGTTTACTCAGTGGTGTGTGCAGGGCAATCTACTCTGTCCAGTCACTGTTCAGTGTGTGGCTAACTGCCCTGGTATTTCTCTTTCTTTGAAATAGACAAACTGTATTTAAAACAATCCTGAAACCTACTCAATATTAAGTTTTAAGGACTTTCTGTGTAATTGTATGTGCCTGAAACAGTCTAATGTAAGCAACTAGGTGCTCTTTGCATTCCCGTAAAATATTTCTTCATTTAGTGGTTAATGAAGAAGTCAGGTTAGCATGTAAAGAAATTACATGATGCTTAAAAGTACATCATGCAAGTGGTCAGTGCATCACTGGAACACATCTGAGGCAAGCAGCAAGGGAGGGAGAGAGTGGGGACTCTCTAAACTCTCTAATACCCTGACCTGTTTGTTGGTTTTCACTGTTGGAGAGGGATAGGTCAATAAAACTGATCAGATAACAGTCTGCTTTGTTTTACAGTTATGAGGTTTTGAGGGCATTTTTTCAGACCAAAGCGTAAGAAATCGAGATTTCTCGTTAAGGCATTTTGCAAAAGAACAGGACAAGGGGCCCTTACATTTAGTGCCTTGTCTAAATTTTACTTTTTTTTTTTTTTTTTGACTCTGGGCCCATTGCAAGTGGCTGAAGTTCCTTTTTCTTCCCCGTGTGCCTTACCTGTGTGGGTATTAGATCTCTCTTCTGGCACACTGGTCTCCTTTCTTCTCCTGTCTTTTCCGTCTACTTTTTCTTTGCACAAGTAACCCTTGCCCGCCCCTCGGCCTGGTCTTGCTGTGTCAGTCAGCTCTTGGCAACACTGGTACAAATTCCCTTATTCTCACTGTGGAATTGGTTGCAGGAAGTAGCACCTGGAGTTCTTGTAAACCTCTGAGTGAAAATAACTAACTAAAAAAGTTGATCAAGAATATCTGCAAGCTGTTTAAATATGGATTTTCACTACTTGATTACAAATTTTCTTTTGGCACGGTATTTCTCTGAAGGGAGCACAACAGAGCAGATGCACTTCTGGTATTGGTCTGATGAAAAGCTGCCGCTTCAGCTGTGGGATTTAGATGATTGTGTGAACATCCTGCCACGTGAGATCAGAGCAGCAATTCTACCTTCCAGTTTCAGGATATGAAAGATCCGCCTCTTCATTAGAGCTTTCATATGGTAACAGCTGAAGTGAGGAAAAACGGGGAGAGAGAGAAGCAATTTAAGAAAACCAAAGACTAATCTACTAAGCTAAAAGGTGATGTGGGGGGAAAGAGACTGAGATGTCATTACTGCTTGCTCATGGAAAGAAAGAGGAAGAACAGATCTGTTGTTAAGCATTACTGGCTTTATCAAAATAATTGTCAAGCTCTCAGATACCGCAGTCACAAGTGTGGTACTAATACCTAAAAAGAGATAGACGACGCACGTGAAAGGAATCTGTATGGTTTCCAGTCATGCACACACTTTTGTCTTTCTGATTTCAGCAGACAGAAGGAGGGGCACAGACAGATGGACAGCAGTCTCAGACACAGAGCAGTGAGAACACCGAGAGCAAATCCACTCCAAAACGGCTTCATGTGTCTAACATTCCCTTCCGCTTTCGGGATCCTGACCTTCGACAGATGTTTGGGGTAAGTTACTGAAGCCTTTTAAGGCAGCAATTTCTCCTTTGCTGGAGGTGGAGCACGTGGTGCCGATGTATTCATGTGAGGATAATGCCAGTTCAGCCAGCACACTGTAAATTTTTTTTGCTGAAGCAGGGTAATAACCGTGTTCGTATCAAGATGTTTCATGTAAGTTAACAATTGGTTTGGAAGAAAAACCCAAAACAAATCTTTACCTAATTTCCCAGTTAAGACAGGATTAAGCACTGAGTTGACTTACTATAGCCATGGCAAAGCATTGTTTTTTTGGTTGCTTAGAAACTTATTGAAATATTTGTCTTTCCTCATGATCCACTTTTGCTTTTTAAAAGGTTCTGGAAGAAATTTGCCAACCAGTAACTGCATGTGGTTGACATGGTGTATGACGTACATTCCATTTTGTTCTGACTGAATAGTTTCTCTGTAAACTTTGTATGCTATTCATCTCAGTATATAAATTCTCTGGGGAAGATTTTGTTCTCATGCATATAAGTGATGACTGCTTCAGTGTAGACACAGAGATAAATGAACTAGATGCTTCATAACCCACCCAATCTTCAGGTGGAGTTATCTGTATGTTGTCATCAAGAATCTTTGACTTGTTGACAAGATGATAGGTCCATGTTAAGTCAACACACTTAAATGTTGTTGCCTGTTTGGGATGCAGTGTAGGGACCTCAAGTTGGGGAACACCAAAGGGAGGGTTACTCTTGCCACCTTGACAGTGCTGCTTTGAGTGTACATCTTGGTCCTAACAGAAAAGCTGGCTGCTCCTCCAAGTTCTTCAGGGTTCTTTTTTCAGTTGTTGCATCTCTTGAGCCATTGCTCTGTGTGCATGCATATATACACTCACAGGCAATAGTTACAGTTCTGTATGCTTGTGAAATTCATGGACATTCATAAATGAGAGAAGAGGGGTTGTCTGTTTGTAGTTTATGCAGTAGGAAGTGAACAAAGTGTGCAGAAATATTCAAACATTCAGCAATGGTCTTGAGCTGTGCTTGCCTGCAGGAGTCCAAATTACTAGCTATTGTGGGATCTCTTTGCTGCCTGTTCCTGGAGGGTTTCTTCTGGCCACAAGAAGCTATTCTGTGGAAGAGACAAAATTGAGGGGAGTGGTCAAAATGCAAGAGGGCAGGACTGCCCTGCCTGGTTGGAGAATGGGGCTGGTAGGAGCCCCAGTGAAGTTCAGCCAGAGCAAGCACAAGGTCTTGCAGCTGGGAGAGAAAAACCTGCAGCACTGGTGGCCGGTGCTCTAGGAAGCAGAAGGATCTGGGGATCCTGATGGGCAGGACACTGGACCTGAGTCAGCAGCATGGCCTTGCAGGGAAGAAGGCCAACCACATCCTGGGCTCTATTAGTAAATGTAGCCAGCAGGCCCAGGGAAGTGATCCTTCCCCTCTGTTTGGCACTTGAGCTGTATCTGGAATGTTTGGGCTCCCAGAGGCCAACAACATTGCCAGGGCCCTCGAGAACAGAGTGTGCAAGGAGAGGTTGAGACACCTGGGCCTGTTCAACATGGGAAGAGACACCTAAGGGAAAATATTTTTGTTGTCTACAGCTGTCTGATTGGAGAACATTGGTGGCGGAGCTACATCCTCTTTGGAGACCACAGGTTATAGGATGAGGGACAACGAACACAAGTTGAAACATGGAAAATTGCAATTAAATGTTAGGAAAATACTTTTACTGTGGGGGCTGTTAAGTAGTGAAACTAGGTGCCCAGAGAGGTTGTGGAACCTCCGTCATCAGAGGTGCTTAAGGCTCCGCTGGACACAGTGCTGAGCGGTCTGATCTAATCAGACCTGGTTTGAGCAGAGTATTGGAAAAGATGACCTTTGGAGATGGCAGAACTGAGATTTTGATTCTAGGATTCCACCTTGATAATGGATATAAAGGTCCATGGGTGTTAAGAATGAGACTGTGTTTTAAGGGGGAAGCTCATCTCCTGGCAATCTGTGGTTTCTCAGTACTCTCAGTTGCGTCTGCTTATGTTTTTTAGCTTGATTTATTTATTTTTTTTTTGTGGTAGGCAGTTCTGTCCGGTCTGTATAAACTGCCTGCTGAAATCACAGCCAGTTCTTGGCCCACCTGCCACAATCTGTGTTTCGCACGCCCTGCTCTGCGCTGCGGCTGCTCCCCTCTCCCGGGAGCTTTATCACTTGCGTAAGCTGCTCTGCGCGGCTGCTGCCCCTTCCCTCGGGACCCGTGCTTGGCTGGGCGGCTGTCCCCTTTCATACGCCATCATTTTGGACCAGATACACCCCCTCTGTGGGGGGAGGCATGGATGAAATGGAAATGACAAGGATATTCCTGCCCTGGTGACACTGATGCAGTGACTCTCGTCTCTGTTTTGTTGATGAGGAGAACCAGGGGATTTGAATGAACTGCTGTTCTGAGCAAGGTCTAGCTGCTTTCAGTGAGGATTTCCATCCTTATCTGGGGCCCAAATGGTGTCACTAGTTTTAACACAGAGAAAGGAAAAACTCCCTATATATTTCCATTGGTTTCCATTGTTCTCTAGTTATTTGTTGTTGGATTATTGTCAAGACATCATCTGGAGTTCCAGCATGGTGACAGCATTTAATTGGGGTAAATGGTGTATTTCCCCATAAAACCTTTGGCTAGATCAGGCGGCAGTGCTTGGTGTTTGCTAAGAGGCAGGCCTACCAGAAGACAGCTTATCTTGTGGGGCATAAAAAAGCCTTGTACAATTTTCCTGTAATAGAAAGCCCTGGTGTTTTGCCAAGGAAATAATCGATGTCTCCTGTAGATCTCCCTTTCCTTCTGCCTGTGCCGCTTCTCTCAGCATGCTCAGAGCCTCGAGCATGAATGTGGTTTTCTCCGAATCCCCCTCACTCCGACTCCTTTTTTGGGATCGAGATGCTTTCCCTTGGAGGACTCACTGAAATCAGCTCTTTCTACAGGGTGCTGTGGTTGTCTGGCTCTTCAGCTGTGCCTGGCTAGTAACCCCCCACCTTCTCCCTCTCCTTTCTGTGTGTCAGGTCACATCTCCTCAACGTCATATCTGGGAGACTCAAAATCCTTGCCTGGAGTGATTTTCCAAAACTACTGTACAAAGAGAGAAATTGGGTAGACAGCAAAGCAGCAGAGGAAGAAATAAATGTGATGGTGGGGAAGGAGTAAAGAAATCCCTTTAGGATTGAACAGAATGCTAGAGGTCAGCCCAGGCCCGAGGCACAGAGAATTAGCTGATGTTTTAATGTAGCCTTGAATAGAGGTGGACTTTAGACATGTTGTTTTGTGTGTGATTGAGGGAAATTACATAATGCTTTCCGTATCGTTGCCATTCGTGAGAGCTTCAAATGCAAGCTTTTCTGATGAAACCAACTTATTCAGGTTTAAAATAATTTCCCATCTACTTCGTGTCTGTAACAGATCTCTGAAATATGCTAAGACAGGGAACAAACATTTCCTTATCTATATGCTTCCTATATCTATATGCTAGACCTATTGCTATGGGGATACAAAATAAATAGGCTGCTTGAAGCAGGTAATATTTACTCAACGTTTCATGTTGCCAGCAAAGTCTTCTAGAAAGCTCCTAGAAGGAATAGGTCATTTTTTTCATGCACACAGTTCTGCACCAACAGTGGAATAAATCAATAGTTGACCTTGTTCTGGCAGATAACGAAGAGTTAATAGCTGACCCGAAATCCTGCAGTTGCCTAGGTACCAGCGATTGCTATTTGCCTGCATTTACTGTGTGCAAACAGAATATGGCACCAGTCAGTAATGTAAGGAGCTTGAGAAGGGTCGGTTTCCTTGGGTTTAAGCAGTTGGCAGGATAGCTGGCTGCGAAGGGACCTTCAGAAAGGGAAGTGTTAATGACAGCTACAAAATGTTCAGCAAAATTGTACTGGTAGCCAAAAAGATAGGATTCCACAGTCACAGAAAGTGAGTACGTGAGACAAAAAGCTATCCCTTCATAAGGGAGAGAAGATGAGGTAAAGGAGAAAGTAAATGGCAATGAATTTTATTAAACTTTAAACAAAAAAACAGTAGATGAGAATGTCATTGAGATACCCATGTGAGTTCAAGGGAAAAGACAGCATTTTTTTTACATGTTAAGAGAAAAAAAATCTAGGTATAGGTCCAATGCAAATTTGTAAATAGCTGTGTAAAAAAAAAAAAAAAACTTGCTAGTATTTTTTTAAAGTAGATCTATATAAGGTATGCCCAAGGATAATGGTCAAACCAGGAAAGTTTCTTCTCCATGAATATCAATTTTTAGCAGCTTCTGGTAAACAAGGGGAATTGTAAAGGATGGTAGATTGCCCAATATAAAAATAATTAAATTTAATATAAAAATTCAATATAAATATAAATTCAATATAAAAATAATTAAAAGGGATGACCCAAAGAGTTATGTGCTAATTAGGCATTTGCTGATCCAAGATGAAAATAGTTTTGACACGTTAAAACATCTGAAGATACAGTTTAGTATTATTCAGCAAAACTTAATGCAGGAGAATGTCTTTTTAAACAAACATTTTGTCTGTTTTGACAACACTGTACTAAGCAATAGTGATACAGTTAAATATTGCTCAAGTGTTTGATTTAGTCCACATGAACAATTTTGATTAAAAAAATGCTTGTCTTATCTCAAATAAACAGAACACAGATTAAAAACCTCTTTAATGATAGATCTTAAAAAGTAGTAATTAATGGGGAGACAGTAGTGATTAAGACCATTTCTAGTGAAAATTTCCCCCAGGGATCTTTTTCAGTCTCATTCCTACTCAATATCTCTATCAGCCATGGAGATAGTAATATTAAAACCTTGCCAGAAAGGTTTGCTATTTGAGAAGGAGGAAGATTAAATTCAGTCAAAGAATGAGTTGAAATGACTGGTTAATTGAGGAGAAATCTGACAAAAAATGTGTTTGGTACAGCTCAGTGCAAGGTACTGTGTATTTAGGAACAGGCTGTCCTCGTAGGATGGAAGGTTTTCTTTGGAAAGGACC